CAGGAAAGAATGAGTGGGAAATTAAATTCTTCCCACTTGTGTCAGATCTGCCCTTATATAAACACATTAACAGTAATTTCATGAGGCGTCAAACACAGGAATAAATACTGAGGGGTAAAATAATGAGGTGTTGCTATTGAGCTGAACTGTTGCAGCTAATATCACTGTGTGTGAATTTTGCAGCCTGAAAGAAGGCATATGTTACAGCACTCCAACAGTCACTTTGCCAGCTTCTTCTGATCATTAAATTTTGGGTCTTTTAGGTGAACCCATCCCTCTTCCTGCTGCAAGGCCAGCACAATGTTTAAGTACTCACACAGAAGCACATACACACACATACACATATACGTATGCACACTAAGCTCTTCATAGGAGGCCCAATTAATTCTTGCTAGAATTCCATTTAAGCCACTGAAGTTACACCAGAGATTAATTTTGTTGAATGTTGAATAGACATTCAATTCAATTTTTAGAATAATAGCACATTTATTAAGGTCTTTGGCTTAAGTTTTAAAGTTATACTAACGTAAATATGAACATTTTGCTTGTGATTTGCCACATCTATTACAGCTTTGCTAGGACTCCCATTAGAGACTTAAGGTTCATTTAGTACACACACATCTGGTGCTGATTTAAAATGACTTTCCCTTTTCATCTAAGGACAGAAAATGACCTAAGTAGCCTTTTTACCCACTTTGAACCTGCGTTCTGTCTGAAAGCCAGAGACTCGACCATTTAGCATGCTGAACTCCCTTTCCTGGGGGCTATTTTTCTCCCCCTCGCAGGAAAAATGTGTGTGAAGGGCAAAGGTGTACATAAATAAGCTATAAAAACAGGACACACACACAAGCATAGTACTGACTAAGGAGAAAGCAGTGTTTGTGATTGTAAGAGAGGAACTGGAAAAGCCACTAAAAATATCCCTGTGCTGTGGCTACAGCACTGAAGAGACTCTACCTCAACAAACTATTGCTGCAGCTGCTTTTCATTCACAGGTTTATTAATCTGAACGGTTTTAGAGAACATTTAGTGTTCAAAATGAAAGAAAATGTCCAGTTCCTTCTTCTGACCATGGATAATTACTGTACCCCATTCAGAATTTGAGAAGAAGCCATGACCAAGTCTGTGACCACTGAAGTCCCTTTCATTTCTAGATTCCTCTGTGCAGACAGGTTTGGACAAACAAAACACAGGCAGACACCAGCATTATTTGCAAATGGCCCTTGTACACTCCAAAATTAATGGAAATGGTTATAGCATATGACCCAAAAATGCAAATCTCTTCATATGGCAAAATGAGAGTGGAAGTACAGTGCAATCTGCTTTAATCTAATAAATTGCAATATTCTCACAGTAAGATCATCAGAGAGTGATTCACTTGAAGCATAACTCCCCCCAAACTTCAGTAACGCACTCACCATCATCTGGCTCATAATAACGTTTCCTTTTTGGTCATTCAAATCCTATTTTCTCAAACAACATTTTCCTACTTTCTTCACAGTTTGAAAAACATACGTGGTACTTGCACAAACCCTTTCGAGCTACAGCCCAATCTGTCAGATTATCACAATTTAGTTGCAAAGGCTTGGACATACATATACTGCCCTTAGGTCGTGACTGCACTGAATTCCAATACCCTTATTTATTCTGTGGTCAGTCTTCAGGAATAAGACAAGAAGAATTCTATGCACTTCAGAAAAAGCTGGCTCAGGTCATAGGAACAAAGAAGATTTCATTTTGGCATGAAAACATGAGGTTATTCTTCTTTCTCAATAGTTACATTACGTTCTACTTTCTGATTCATTTATATTTACTATTTAAATAGTAAAAGGAGTTCCAATTCAGGAAACATAATTTGGAAACATAATTCTATTTAAATTCCAGAATATGCATTAGCTTCCAAAACATAAAAGCCAGGAGCTTTATGATAATTGAATCCTTTTCAGCAAGTATAATTCATCAATAAAGTATTCCTCCAATGACGTTATTGTTTCTTTAACTATTTTTTAATTTCTCAAGCTTCTTCAATGCCCAATTCCAAATGCTACATTAATCACTTGTATTTTTAGAGTCCTATTTTCCTACCAGAGACATAGGTTTCATAACAGTGACTAATGCTCTGTATCTGAAAATTTAGGCCTTTAAAATACAGACTATCTAGTCAGTTAAGATGTCTTGTAATCATGACTTTGTAGTATTAGATCCCTAATGGAATAAAGAATGAGTTTAAATTTATTCTAGAAAATAGGATTGCCATTTTATAAAAAAATAGGGACTATCTTTTATTCTTTTTGTACAGTGCTAGATTAGAAAGGGCCTGGGTCTGGAGTTTTAATGAATAATTTTGCCTATAATGAATAGGCAAAATGAGTCAAAGTGCAACAAAGACATGCTAACCCAAACTCTTGGAATAATTGGCTTAAAAATCTAGTTGCAGCTATTTATTCATGAATGTGTCATATGGATTCCATAACACATCATTCTGCTGTGTTCCAACTTAAATTAAGGACAACAGAGATAAGGAAAATAAATTTTGTTCTGCCGTTCCAGTGTAGGACTTATTCAATTATTTCTTTCAACCACAAATAGAAAATTCAAGTTAAAGTTGGAAATTTAGGGGTTTATGAACTCTTTTTAAACAGAATTATATGGAAATACTTCAATTTTCTGCTGGAATGACTAACATGACAAGCTCAAAGGAAATGTGCATTTTATAGACTTTTAGGTTTGTTTCCATTATATGGTCTTGAACAATTATTCATGAAGTCAAGTTTTCTGTGCTGTAAGTGGAGCAAATATTATGAAAGGAAAAACTGCATAGCTGCAACAGCCACAGCTTAAGGGTCAATATGAAAAATGGTTGAGGAAATCAAGCACAAGATCTGGCTAAATAAATAATTTTTGCTTGGTGCCATCACTAGAGAGATGTAAGATTAGAGACACAGGCCCTTGACAAGTCCAGGTCTCTGCCTTTCACTATTTCAGGAAAATTTGGATCCACAATCCCACAGGAAGGCAAGATGAGTCCAAGATACAGACCTAACTACTTGGAGCACTCCTGAGGGATGTGTTTGGATGTCCAGGTTTCAACATGGGGAGTGATTCTAGACAAGGTTCCTTTCTTTTTTTTAATGAATTTAAATCATATACCACAGTCTATAGTTTCTCAGCTTGGGCTGGAGGTCCTGACCAAGCACAGCAGGGACAGCTCTTGCATGTTTGGGCAGACTGCTGAGCAGTGGCTACTCCTGGCATGGCTCAGCACTGTCCCTCCTGCCCACGGGCAGGTATGTGGGACAAGGAGGAAGAGCATCACAACCTCTTCCTTGTGACCTTAACCAAAGCATAATCTGTAATTTTTTTGTTCCTTCAGCTAAACCTTCCAAGTACTGACCTTATTCAAAGGTGGATGCTAGACATAACAGGCTTTTTTTTTTTTTGTTAGTCCACGAGTATCAAACTTTGATTCCTATTACACTGTTACTTTTAACAGGGATCTAGATGTATCTACACCATCCACTTTAGCAAAGTAAACCTTATTTTTTTCAAGCCCAAATGATTTTACCTACCAATCATAACAGAAATTTCCCTTTTATTCTTAGCCTTATTAACTATAATTTTGTTATAATAACATGCTCAGTGTGAATGAACGAGATGCAGTTTTGTTCCAGTACTTTTCCCTTCTCTCTGTGCTGACACCAATCCCCACCCATGTCTCCTGCTGCCAATATAACTCTCACTCAGCGTATCCCCTCCCTCTGTATTTGCTTCTCTCTCAAAATTCCTATTTCTTTACCTACCCAAAAGTAGGTAAAAAGTCAAAATGCAACCAGTAATGATAGAAGAGCAATGATGTGCTACATTGGGGATGAATGGTATTTGCCAACAGTCACCACATGGGCGTGATGAGCTTCCAGAGTTGCCCACTTTGACATAGCACCTAACTGACTCCGAAGGATTTCTGAAAAGGTTCAGGTCCAGCTCTGCCAACCTCACTGCAGAACTAAAGCCTTTCCATGGAAGATGGAAGTACCTATGGAATGTGACTTCCACAGCCCAAGTGTATGCTGGAAGCTACCCCAGAACACTGTTGATTAGCCAGAGTCCACTGTAGGTCTCTTTGTATCAACACATCTCTAATTCCTTTCATAAAAGCCTGGTGGATCAGGAGATGTGAGCCCAGCACCCATCCATATACCACACTGTCACAGACAGGGCAATGCTGTCATAAAATCTCAGGCCCACAAATTTGGGCATAAAACAATCCTAAATATAATCCTAAAGCTTGTGTCACACCCCAAAACTAAAAAAAAACCCAAACCAAACCAGCAAAAACCCCTTTTGTGCTTTCATACACAAAAAGTTGAACGATACTCTCCTTTTCTCAGCCTCTTTAAATCAGATTCCTTAGATGGAATATATTCAAGTTTTATTCCAGCAAACAAAGCTGCCTACAGTGCTTTGATGACCCTGATAACACGTTCCTGAAACAAAGCCTCTGAGCTACAGCACGTTTTGTACCTGTTTTTGTTCTTCTCCTAAGCCGTCCCACATTGAAGCTACAATTTTAGAGACTTCACCAAAAGTGGCATTGGGGTTTTGGCCCTTGATGGCTGCTTGAGTGTCTCGAAAGAATAATGCATAGGCAGACACAGGCTTCTGCGGCTCATTTGGATCCTTCTTCTTCTTCTTTTTGGGAGTTTTGGGTTTCTTTCCCATATCTGAAGCAGGTCTCTTTTCTCCACCATTGACCTGTAACACAGAATCAGCAAATTACTATTAAAAAAGCCAATTTAATTCAGTCCATCCATTGTTACAGCTTCTGTGATATACAGAGATTTTTAATTTTGCATGCAAACAAGGAATGTTGTCATCTTTGACAGTCCAAACGTTGACACCATCTGACTTAGTCACATGTTTAAAATTCATAAGTTTTCCAGATTTCATAACTTTTCCCATTAAAATGCTTTATATTTTGCTTTCATATAATTGCTATGAACTTAATTATTGTTCATCTGGTCATCTTTTCAACTCTTCTACATTTTATTGCTAATGGCTACAACATGCATATAATGAGTAAACTGAAATGAAATTAGTTTCATTATTGCCTGACCACCAGTTCAACCACGTGAACCACCTGCAGACAGCAGGAACATTGTCATTTCTACCTTTCTCCTATCCTCACCCTTTCCCAGAACAACCTCAGATTAGTGTTCAAGCCAATTTCCACTGCAACTGGTGGGACACCCTCCAGGGAACTTGAAGAGAATCTGATTGTGAATAAAACAAGTTATAGACCTTCCACCACACACCTTATAATTAAATTCTGAAGAAACAAAGATTTTTAACAGTCCAGACAGTTTAGACCCCTTTGGAGGATCAGTTCTGATCCATCTGGATTTAGCTGCATAGTTTTTTTTCCTCTGTGCTTGTAAAATCAAATGGTTTGAGGAAAGGAGTGAAAGAAGAATGGTATATGAAGAAAAGTTCATGGGCATTGTGTGGACCACCTGAAAAAAATGAGCCTTTGTACAAATTTGTTAAATGCAACTACCCTTTGCCACTGAACAGCTCAGAGACCCTGATGACCAAACCATTCTTAGGTGACTTGCAAGCACGTAAAGGGATGCTATTCTGATTCTTCCACAGATTGGAACTCCATGGCAAAGCAGCTTTTCCTGATATGATCACTTAATTCACTGTATCTGTAGCAATGACATGTGATCTTAGCAGAGGGGTCAAAGGCTTTTTTCTCTTGCTGGCATGGCCAGAGTATTGTACATCATCACTGTTCTGACGTAGGAGAAGATCAAGAGCATAAAAGGTATGCTCTGGGCTACGGACCTACTAGGCGTGACTTTTATCACATCCTTGTTTCATTATTTTTTAATAATTCAGATAATACATATCAAGGGACACAGGAAAACACAGGTCTTCAAATCAGTGGAACTGCATGAGGAAAATGGCTGGAAATTCTCATTTTCAGCAAAAAACCTTTTTATTTTTCTATATTATTTTCTATATTTCTCTATGTTTTCTAGATTATTTATTTTTCTTTCTCTTGAGCCCCTCACTACATGAAGAACATTGAGGGGCTGGAGCATGTCCAAAGAAAGGCAATGAGGCTGGTGAAGGGTCTAGAGCACAAGTCTTGTGAGGAGCAGCTGCGGGACCTGGGGTTCTTTAGTATGGAGAAAAGGAGGCTCAAGGTGAGACCTTCTCAATCCCTACAACTCCCTGAAAAGAGGTTGTAGTGAGGTGAGGGTCAGTCTTTTCTTCCAAGGAACAAATGACAGAACAAGAGGAAATGGCCTCAAGTTGTGCCAGGGAGGATTTAGGTTGGCTATTAGGAAAAAAGTCTTCCTCAAAAGGGTTGTCCCTGCCTGGCTCAGGCTGCCCAGGGCAGTGGTAGAGTCCTCACCCCTGGAGGGGTTTCAAAGCCATGTAGCTGTGATGTTGAGGGACATGGTTCAGTGGTGACCTGGCAGTGCTGGGTTAGCAGTTGGACTTGATGATCCTGAAGGCCTCTTTCAACCAAAACAATTCTATGACTGTATATACACCACTGCATGATGTCCATCAGGGCCCAGGTGATTAACAGGCTGGATCTCTGTGGCTTACAAAGCACATCAACAAGGTGATGACCACAATTTGAAAATTAAGTTGCTTGTTTCCTGAGAAGTATGTTATCATTGATTAATTTTTAATAGACGGTTAATGCAGTTGGAAAATATGGAAAGCAAGAAGTAGCATGCTACTCATTATGAAGCTGTCCAACTTTTAGTGCCTTGCTATCATTTCACTGAATAGGGTACACAAAACACAAAAAGCTAAATGGTAATTAACTAGGGCTCCCTAGTTAATTTGGCAATATCAGTCTAAACTCTTCAGGCAGCTCTGTGCAAACTCCATGGGCAAGGAAGCTTGACAAGAATTTGGGCTATAGTTAAAATCTTGCCTCTATTATTGGCTAAAGTTTTCCTCTTTTCAGAGCATTCTTGGACCAATCAGATTTAAAAGTATAAAATCCTGTATATTAGGATATCACATTACTTAAACTACCCTTAAACTCAGCGATATGCTGCAGAAACTTGTGTAAGAAGTCTTCTGATAAGTGGTTCTAAGATGAACTCTAAAGTCCTATTCTCCAACCTGAATGATCAAGAGACTTCAAAATCCCACTGCTAAAAAGAGAGTACTCACATGGGAAATTCTGTTTGTCTTATATGAAAATAACAAAATTAAAAGAATACCAGAATTTCGGTACTAATAACCTTGCAAATGGCTGAGATGATGGCCCACCTTATGCTCCCATCAGTATATCGGCTTCATAGACTCCACTTCTAACCACCAAAGCAGAGACAGATGGGAAATAAAATAAAAACTATATATATTCTGCTAGGCATAGTCTTGTGCCTCCAAATCCCTGGAGGTGTAGTTAGCTCATGGTAATCCACCTCCTGTCATGGCTTATTGCTTAATTATGGTGATGTATTTAACTTATTTATCACAAGAAAGCAATAATCTTTCACTTTAAAAAAGTGTACATTAACCATGTTGCACACATAATAGATCACAAGAATATCTAGAGTAGGATTTAAAACTATCAAGTAAGGCACATCGTTGATATCCAAATGTCCCTTGAGAAGCTGGAAAGTGTCTATAAGCATATTTAAAATAAACTGCAATAGTACCAAAGCCTTTAATGGAGCTAGGAAAGCTGTTTTATGCACACTATCTTGCAGTAATCGCTGTAGTTTAAAATAGATTTTAATCAAGCACCATCTGCATAATAGGCTGAACAGACAACATAGAATTCTACTTATAACTCCTATCATATAAAGTAAATATTGTAAAACCTCTACTACATAAAGAGAATATGCTGCAGCAGTTCTTTTGTAATTGTGTTTCTGTTAGTTAATTTTTGCTACTTGCAAACCTCTCACTATTGCCCTCTAAATAAAATTTGAAATTCTCTCACAAGTGATATTCAAATGAGCATGGAAGAAAACCCTGTTATCCATCTATGAAGAAACACATATTTGCAAACTACTAATGCTTCCAGCAGCTCATAATTATGCTTGGCAATAACTGAATACATGCTTAACGATCCAACAGTATGAATTATGGCAAGAATTACAGAAATGTAATATTCCAGTGTTGAGGTGGTCAGGATAAAGCACGTGGTAAGTGGTCGCTTTGTTTAGAATGTTTTTATAGTTACTTACAAGTATTGATTTTTAAGTTCTGCCTTCTTCTTCTTCTTCTTACCATAGTCCCACACAGTAGATTTAGAGGAATTAAGGAGGCATAGGGATGAACACCTCTTGTAGAAAAAATATCTTTGGCCTGAGACGACATTTCACATTTCCACAGACCTTGCAGCTGCATATACATAGCCTTAGAATTATTCAACTTGCCACTGATCTCAGGAACAAGACCTCAGCTATGGTCAACCTCAGCTGTCTTGCTTCTAGAGCAACAGTGTGTAGGGCAACCAAGCCCTCTATAATGCAGCTCCCTTCCCTTTTTCATGCAAGGGAATATATGATGTTTAAAGTCCGAAAGGCCGGTATGAAAGAGTCTGTATGAGAATGAGCATCGCCAGAAAATATTTAGCATCTGCTGCCATAAGTTCTGTGTATGCTGGATAAGACTTACAACAATTTCAACATTTACCATAGAATGAACATCCAAGCAAATCAGTACATGAACAATTACATCAGTTTGTAGAGTTTCTTTATTCCTGGCATTTGGAATATGTATATTAAGCTGAAATGATAATTCGCTCCATGCATGCAAATCAGTGGTTCACTAGGGATACAACTGTACTTTTAGTCCAGATGTATACAACATACCTATTTGTTCATCCCTGCTGTCATCCTCTTTCTATAAATTCATGGAAACATGAAAATGGCACAGAAATTTCAGTAATTTTTTTTCTCAGGATAGAGCTAGATAGAGTTGTTAGGGATTTCTCTATCAAATCTGCTGTGGTTTCTCTTTCACACGTAAGGCTGAGCCTTCAGCTGGTATAAACTACGGGAGGTCACCTGACACTGAGGTGATTTTCCATTTGAAAATGTACTTTGTCTTTTTGATCAATGCTGGTACGTAGGCAAACATCTTCTCCTGCTGGTTACACAGGGAGAACGTCAATGTTGCCATTAACGATACAGTCAATTCAGAGGGAGCTGCTTTTTACACAGTCCTCATGGCAGGAACATCTTACTGACTTCATGAAGCTGCTCAAACGTGACGAGCTCCAGCAGCTACTACATGACTGCAACATGTTCAGTTCTACTGAAGGCCTGACTAACGAGCTCTGGCTCTGCTCTATTAAGTAATACTACACGTCTACATGATAGTTTATCAAACAAAGAGAAATGTCAAAGTTTAGCAAAGTTATATTCAGGTAAAAGATAGAGGTTCTCACAAGAGAAAAAAACTCCGACCATTTTATCCCTTTCTGTCCCCATCTGCTCCCTTCTTTCACTGGGAGGAGTATTTTTGGAGTGAGAAGAACCCTTGTGGCTCCCTCCAAAGCAGCTCTGAAAAAATTTAATATTGTTGTGGCCGGGGTGAAGGATCTCCAGAGAAACCTGGTTTCTTCTAAGTATCTGTATCCATTCATCTGCAGCTTCCAGGAAGAGCAACGTGACAGAAAGATACGCAGTAGAGAGGTTTAAATTGTAAACAACAGCAATACTCTAACTTCTTACACTGATTACTCAAACCCTCTTGTATTTTACAATGGAAACTACAGCGTAGGTTTAGGTGTACCCACCCACTGCCCATCTCCAATGGTGGCCAACTTCAGGCGTTTACACAAAGACCTAAGAAATTCTACAGAATATAGATATGGCACAATCTGCCCCTCACCAAGCTTGCAGTTTAAACTCTGCTACTTAGAGACCAGTTTAAGCCCTCTGCTCTGATTAATCATTATTAATCAGATTTTATATCCTTTAAAACATTTATCAGAGCACAAAAATTGTAATTATTGAATTTTACAGCACTGTATCAACTTCAGCATGCTGGAGTTAATTTTGTGTTCTGTATTGTGCCTTTTCTCATCTATTTCTGCTTTGAGCATGAGAGAATTTTAAGGAGTTTTCCAAAACAACCTTACTTAAAAGCTGAACACTATAAACTGGCTTCCACAAAGAAAGGACCAAGTTTTACTTGGTCTGCAAGTATTTCTTTATTGAAAACTTCAGAGGAGTACAGTCTGCATGAAACCAGAACCCTGCGCTTTTTCTGGCACAAAGTGTTTGCAGTGAAAAAGTACATGAAAAATATGGATTAAATAACTGAAATATTTGACAGAAGCAGAAAGGATGTCTTAATTATTCGAGTGGATGTTTTCTCCAGAAGTTTAAAGCACCTTGCACACTCCCACCAATACATGTAAAAATATTAGCAGAGTGGCAGGAGTAGCAAATAAATTATTCTGCAAAAGGTAAAGGCTGCCTGGAATTATTTTTACATAGCTGTATTCTAAAGTCTCCCTCAGCAAGGAAGTTCTCATTTAAAATGTATGAATTATTCAGTAATTTTTAAAACCTAAAGTTTGTGAAATGAGGGGAAAGTCCTGAAATAAAACTTTTGAATCAGAATTTATTCAAAATGTAGTAAAACATACGTCTCCAATTACATGATTATTTTATAGCTTGAGGCATGAAAAACAATATAATTTGAAAACAAATCAGACTTACATTTCTTGACTGGATTATACCTTCTCAGTGACTTACAATATGTTTTCTTCCTATTCCTCTCAAGTCTGCAACTTTGCCCCACAGGACATGGCCATGGTACATGCTACATTACATGACTGCTCTAACACGACTGCTCTTTTACTGTGACCATAAAACAGAGCTAAAAAGGTTCTCAATTTCTGTATGCTCTATTCCTGGTTCATGCAATGACTTTAGGCTCATTCCCAATCTTTTTGTGTCTCAGCTTTTGTGTCTCCAAGATTAAAATTATACACTTGTGTAATTTTGGGGAGGTTTTCAGGAGTTTGGGAGGATTTTACATGCTATATAAATTGACATTTATCCTTTAAAGAAATGTATTATGTAAATTACTATTGTTACCTCATGCCTGCACTGATACTAAAATGAAGCTTAAATATGTGATGATGGAGTGTCAGCAACTCCTAAAGTATAAATACATAATGAATCTTCAAGATTTTCCAGGTGAGATTTTTAAAGTTCATAGAGGATCTTCCTGTTCTGGTTGCTGTGATGTTCTGTTTACTCATCCTGTGACCAAGTAGCAAAGACTAGCAGATACATACAGACTGTTCATACTTTTTATGGCAGTAACTTGATCTTTAACTGGGAACAAACATCCTTTTTATGCAAGTGAGAAAACTCAACCTTTAGACTAAAGTTCTAAAGGAAAGGCTATTCTTTGAGTGTTTTACAGGATTTCAGTTTGCCCTCACAAAGCGAAGTGATGTCATTTATTCAAGCTGCTTGAAGAATTGACTGGAAAATATTAAGTTCTGTATTCATAGCTCTTTATTCACGTCAGTTAACCAACAACAACGTATGAAGAATCACCTTAACACCTGTGGCCATATGATTCATTTAGCAGGTCCTAAACATATCCACCATTTACACAGTAATCCTAGCATCTAAGCCTACCTTAGAGCTATCTTCTCCTTCATCTTCATGGACTGAACTGGATGGTGAAGGAGTTGCAGATTTGCTTCCAGGTGGAGAGGGCGAGTTGTGAGGAACACTGTTTCCACCCATATTCAAACCAAGCTGTGCACTGAGCTGGGACTGGTTAATAGTAGTCAGCTGCCCATGCTGCATCATTCCTGGCTGCCTAATATCTGCAGGTTGAACCCTTGGCCTCATGGTTGCCATCTGAGGATGGGAACTATACTGGGCTCCTTCTGTATTCCGTAAATCTTGCATCTACAAGAGGAAAAAAACTGTATTAAGCATATCACTAATAAAGTGTTCTGTTCCTTTAGACCCCTGTTGGCCTGATTGGCTATATAAGGCTTAAAAGAAATGGCAAGTTCTTAAATAAACATGTAAATACTGGAAATAAACAGAGTAAGGATATGATTGACATTTGCATAACACTGACTTATAAACTATTCAGGTTCTAGCCTCAGCCCATGGGAATAGCAAAGAGCAATGAACACGTGTTTTTTTTTTAATAGGGGGAACAAAAGGGCACTGCCTTCTGTAACTGCATGTAAAGTATTTCAGAAATGCTAACAACCCGGGACAGGTTTGCACTCTGAACCAGATCAGAACATCAATATCCTCAAATTCCATACAATTTCCAGATCCTACTTGTCTTTTTAGGATTTCTCTGTGTGCGAGCTGTGAATTTGGAAGCTGCATCATTCAGTGTTTGAGTATCTAGTATTAGGTCCAACTCTATTTTTCTTGGTGCTGCCCAATGAGATACTGGAATTTTCAGGATTCAGATGACTGACAAGAAAGATGCATTGATAGACTGATTAAATGATTTCTGGGTTGATTTGCTGCTAAGACATATATGGACAGAAAGCCTGGAAATCGCGGGATTGACAAATGAATCCATTGTGCTATGTGGGTCACTGCTTCTTAGCATTAACGAGACATACTATTTTAATGCAAGCAACAAATTCAGCTTCTGCAAGGATAAGAATTAAAAGCACTGGAGGATGAAACTCCTTTCTTGTCCAGAGGTTAAATGCACCATAGACACACAGCACAGCAGATCGCCTGTAACATCTTTTCAGTATGCTCATACAGAAATGTAACAAATAACAAAGAGTATCAGGGAGAAGCTTAGACTTAAGCTAAGTTGTTCTGTGGGTGATTTAAAATTGAAGTGTCAATTCAGAGCTGAAAATGAAATGATATAGTTGTCTTTCCATGCACCAGACAAACATGCCATACATATCGAGTGGAATCTGACAGGAGCTACCGTTGTGTAAGTTCCATTACGATAAGGACACGTTAATGGTTCAATATATTAACATAACCACATTCATTCTACTGACAGCCTTTGTTAGACATGTCATCTGCATTGTCTAAAGATCAGATTTTTTTTTAGAAAACTTTTTATAGCTCGTGACTTCTGTAACCTCTCTTTCTCTCATACACATGCTCCAATATATCACAGCAATCCATAAGATATCTTTCAGCCAGCAACACGCAGAAAAAAGGAAATATAAACCTGTAACTTCATCTTTTCTCTTATTATTGATAGCATAAAAATTTATCAATTTTAGGGAGATAGTTTATGAGCTTGGGGATTGATTTTTGTAAAGCTGACTAGTTGGCAGTAAATCAAACTAATAATACCATTAGTTATGGCATACTTACCACTTTACATCTACATGTGTCTCTGAAAAGTATTTGAAATGGCTTCTGACAATGTGACAATTACACCTGTATTTATATTGCTTTAGAAATTATTAGCTTTTGGTAAAAAAAATGGTTATCAATGCAAACATGTTCAAGTTCATTTAATGACTCCTAAGCACCAAAGGAGAGGAGCAGAGATGGCGCAGTGTATGAAAACAATTGAAAGCTGAAATTTGAATCCTGGCAGACATTTATATTTTTAAACATTGCTACCGACTCTTGTTCCCTTCCCTCCAGGATCAGCTCCCCTCCTCACCAACCATATTAGCCTTGAAAGCTGTCATTATCTCTGCCTCTAGCAGACAACCTGTATCAAAACTATTGTGCCTCTGAAGCTGGAACTGCTGCTTGGCTGTTTTGTTCCAAATCCAGCAACTGGGAAATGGGAAGTGGCAACATGGCAAGGAAACCAACTACAGTCCCTCATGTGATAGGGAAAGGAGGCAAAACCCTCCCCAAAGTCCTCCCTTCACCCCATCTGTGGTGCTGGACCCCCAGCATGAGTGTGTGCCCTCCCCAGGATGCCCACCACCCTGCAAGGGACCAAGCGCACACTGTCATGCTTGCAGAGGGTTTAGGATTTTGTGGGGCAGCACCTCATGGTGCTGGATCAGGGCTGAAAATAAACTCCCCCCATAAAAGACTGGAAAACCAAGGCTGCTTTTTAATAAGAAAATGCTTCCTAACGATTTTATGAACTCTAGAATGGAAACAAGCACTATTTGAAACTCTTAAAACCTCTTACTTTGATTGAACTTGCAAAGTATCCACCTCTGAAAGCAAAGGTTATAATTTTAATTACTTTTCCCTGTGCAAAATACAATCCAATTGCTATTATTCAAATGATCTCTATTAAAAACTCTTCATATGAGCTTCAAATATTATCACATAGATACTGTAGAACATTCTGTATTTGTTGTTTTTAAACAATGTAAATTTTTAAACAGTCTGTGATTCATTTCCAGCGCTGGTGCTAAACATACACTGTGCTTTCAGATAACATGACACCAACTGGACAGTATTGGGTGTATCCCCATACAAAACGTCTGTGTGTGTATGTGTATAGATATATATAAAAATATTTGCATGAGAACCCTTCACCAGTGAAATTCTGAGGACTGCAAATAAGGTGGTGTTGTAGAAAAAGGTATTTTTCTTTCCACATTAATTCAACTTGTCTTCTGAATTTGGAGAGTTTTAGGTTGGATAACAGGAAAAACTTCTTCCCCAAAAGGGTTGTCAAGGCCTGTCCCAGGCTGCCCAGGGCAGTGGTGGAGTCCCAATCCCTGGAGCGATTTCAGAGCTGTGGAGATGTGGAGCTGAGGGACATGGTTTAGTGGTGACTCAGCAGTGCTGGGTTAACAGTTAGACTTGATGATCTTAAAGGTCTCTTCCAACCAAACTGATTCTATGAATTTTTACATCAGATGAATAACAGACTATCTTTACAAAACGAGGTGTAAGCAGCAAGTGAGTTTGTTTAACAGTATTTGTTCCCTTTTAGATGATAAGCCAGAAATCCTCACTTAAGGGATCTGCCTGCAGAGAACATAATGAGAGTAGGTCCATCACACAGAGCTTTGTCCCTCAACAAGGAGGATCCACATCTGCAGATGAGGTTACTGCCTCACCTCTCTGCCATGCACCTCAGAGCCTGCCTTCTCCCATCCTGTCCCTTCCTAGTGAAAAAGTGGGATTGTCTCAGAAAATGCTCATTCCTTGAGTAAGAACAGGAAGCCAACCACACAACTGTGAAAAGCTAGGAGATTACGCCATGGAAAACATGTGATGGTGAACCTTCAGGTTCCTAAAGCATCAACAAACCAACAACTGTTCCATCTTCCCTCTTGGGTTCAGGAACAGTCCTACCCCTGGAAACGACACCCTTGGGGCTCTGCTGTGATGTGACACTACAACCATGTCAAACACTGTGATGACCTTGTCTCTGCAGGAACAGTGGTACCAATCAGACACACTCCCTGCCAACGTTACACACAGAGTATGACCAATTTCTTTTAAACTGCTTAAAAATCAGAAGCTTCCTGTCCCTTGTGCCTCCAGGTGGGTTTTACAAACCCCACCAATGTGTAGCTGTGCTGGAGCCATATTCAGTGTGCAGAAGCAATATTGTGAACATGCTCCTGCCAGGTGGCGGAGCGCCAAATGGAAGAACAAACTTAAAGAGTTTGAGTGTTACAGAGGATATGGACAGTCTTAAATTGATGCCTTCAACGTAATCTCTGATGAGGTAATAATGATAATATCTGGCACTTTCATATAATTTTCCATCTGTCAGTTCCAGGATGTTTCACAACTTGTGTTATATTCAGCTTTAGAACATGCCTGGTTTTATTTTGGTTTTACTAATGGGGAGGCTATTTTATGTTTCTTTTCGTGGCTATTTTTAGTTGTTGGGGTTTTTTTTATTTGTTTGTTTTTTCTCTTTGCATTTTGTTTATAAGCAGAAACTGAACATCCACACATATAAGTGTTCGCCTGCAATGTTAATAGACATAGTAAAAGCCACTAATTCTGAGGTGTGAACTGATAACCCTTACTGGCACATATTTAGTGGAAAACCAGAACAGGGATTTCGGGTTGAAAACAAGCTCCTAATGCCCTGCCCCAGGCTCCTAAGGTACTAAGGTAAAGCTAAATTGCTCTAAACATCAGAACATTGTTTTTCCCACCAGCTCAAAAACAAAGCAACGCATGCAATGCAGAGTACAGTGCTATCATCCCCGCACAGAAACATCTTACTGCAGGACAATGTGAGTACAGTACCCTAATCACAGAATCACAGAAAATAGTGCTAGAAGGGACCTCAAAAGGTTATTTAGTCCAACACTTTATCTCACAGCAGGATTAGCTATACCTAAATCATTTCTGACAGATGTTTGTCTAACCTCTTCATAACCTCCCTAGGCAATTCTTGTGCTTAACTATCCTTACAGTGGAAAGGGCTTTTTTCTGTAATGTCTCACCTAAATCTCCTTTGTTGTAATTTAAACTTACTACTTTTTGCTCTGCTCCCAGTGGACATGAGGAATGTTTTTCTCCTTCTTTACAGAAAAGTTGCACACACTAGAAGGCTATTATGAATTTCCTTTCAGTTTTTTTTCTTTTTTAGACTAAACAACTAAACCTGAAGATTGAAAGACTTTTTTCATATGCTGTATTTTCTACATGTCTGATCATTCTTCCTGCTGTCCCCTGGAATATGTCCAATAAGCTTCATTTTTTTTGAAATATTGTGCTGCAAAGTCCACAAAATACAGATATTCCTATCTGACACAGCATTCAGATAGGATCCTTCATCTCTCACATGATGCACCATAGAACATTTAAAAAGATCCCTAATTATCTGTCTTTTTGATACCAGCTTGTTAGTCCATGCAAGATGCAGAAAGAGTCAAATTGCAGAACTCTCAACTAAGAAGGCGGTTTTAGAAAGCAAAAACTGTGATGCAACAGCCCTCTGAAAAGCTGTAAAATTCCAAATTGTTCCTCCGTATTTAAATTAATTCATAATCAATGTTATCATTAAATGAAAGATGAAGGAAAAAT